CTTCAGTCCCAGAGAAACGTATAAACACGAGATGTTGTCAACCCTTCCGTTCTTGTTTCTTCTTAAACTAATGGTTCTTGGTATCAACACTCTCTGTTTCTGGCTACGGCTGCGGCTCGCAACTTGACTTTAGGCTTCGCTCGGGTTACGCCGAACAAGAGGATGGAAAACAACAGAGACAAGGGGGCAAAGTACGTGTCCGAAACAGACGCAAAAATGCGACGCAAACAACAACAACACTTCGTTGCCGTCGTCGTCCAACATCACTCGGCATGCCCCCCCCTTCCCGTTCCCACAGGGACCACGCGGGACGCTTCTCTGCCCTACCTCTCGCCTTTACAACCACGACGCAAAACGTACCGTGGGATGCTTAACACACTCGCCGCTAATGCGTCGCTTCATTCTCGTCTCCGCGTCGCTCCCTCGCCGATTCCGCCGTTTTCGAATGTTTTGGGGGAAAAGACGGACATAACAATGTGCACACTTTAACGCGGTTTCCTCTTCTTTTTTCCCCTTTTCTATTAGCGTCTCGTTGAGAATGCTCGTGGGAGAAAGAGGAGGCACAGGTTAGTAGACGACGCCTCGGAACGTAGAATTGTTTGCGTTCCACGCGCGGGAATTGTACGGGCGTCGTCAAGCGGGCGCGAGCGACGACTCGCTGTGTGCCTCGTTCGCGGTTGACGAAGCCGTAGCGGCACCGCGCGCTTTTGTTGTTTGTGCCCCAAAACTGCCGCCGTGCAGCGACGGTTTGTTTTAGACGACATCGTCTCTTACCGCCGACGTATTAATATTATTGTTTTTGGCTCTCACTCGTTTATGGTTAGTTTGGGAGGGCGACGCCGGTGCAGTAATTCGTCGACGATGCGGAGGTTTTCTAATGTTTCGCGGTCCAACGTTTTCTGTGTGTGTGTGTGGGGGGGGGGGGGGGGGGGGGGGCTGACGCTTCGGTGTTACGAGTGTGTAAGTGCGAGTGCGCGTTTGGTGTTAAGAGTTTCAGCGCCGCTGGTTTTTTTTGTTGTTCCGGGTTTCGTTGCGAATTCGCGAGGGACTGCGGATTTTCGGGAAAAGGGGGGGGGGGGGGGGGGGGGGGGTTAGTTACGAAGAGTTATTAATATTAATCAAGCCGCGAGTGCGCTTTGTTCGAGTTGGGGCTCTTCCGTCGTGTGTGCGGGCGTGCGTTTTAGGCCGCCGCAAAAGTTGACAAAACTGACTACTTGTGTTGCTTTTTTTTTTTTTTTGTCCGCGTGTGTATGTGTGAGCGTGCGCCCTTTCTTAAGCTTGGAGAGGCCGAATGCGGAGGTGTTGAAGAGTTGACAAGAGTTAACGCGCCCGACGGCTACGCATCGTTTAACTCCTGGGGATCGCGGAATGCAGTCGGTATACTTGAAACGAGTTCCTAGGATGCTTGCCGGTAAAAGAAAAAAAAAATGAAAATAACAATCCGTTATTTTTTCGTTCCTTGTTAGGTTTTTCAGCTCGAATGACGTTGTAGCTTCTACTCGATTTAAATTCTACCGCCCCTTATTAATGTAGCGCTGATGTTGTACGTGTTGCTTTACCTGCCAGTTGATATCGCGCTAATGTTTGCAGAAACGATTTTGTAGTTTGCGGGATGATTCCAGTCTGCACGAATTGTGGATTCCCAATACTGGACACCATGGGACTCATGCAGCGCTCGGGTGACGCGTACAACTGATAGACTCTGCTTCTTTACGTACGACGGTCGCAATACCCTTTGTACGGAATTTTAAATGTTCACGGGAAGGGTTCAGAAATTCAAAAATTTTGTCAATGTAACTTCGTTTTTTTTTTTTTAATTTGTTGACATTTCACAGTATCCGGCGATAACCTGATGTTCTCTAGATGAGAGCTTGCTGTATGTTTTAATTCGAAATAATTGGATATTTCCCTTACAAGCTGTTCTTAGATCTTCAGCAGAAACTTTTGTTGATACCATTACGCCTACTTTTGTTTTACTCCGCTCTGTAGTTCATTGCACCTATTTCAGTTCTGTTTTTAATAACTATGAGCATAATTGATGTTTTTGTTTCCACGCTAAACACGAGGTCTAGTTCTTCATTTTATAAAATAAGATTGGTTGGAATAATGAATTATTTAATTAGATAATTACTTCGTTTTTCGGCGACTGATTTGTTCCGGCAGGCTTAAAGATGACTTGGTACGACCTCTCCGCCTTCGTGGACCAGCGCGAACAGCTGCTGGAGGAGTCCTTCCAAGCCCTGTCTCCCGACGAGCTGGGCATACTCACTCCGGTGGAACTCCAGGTGAGGACACCTTATGTATGCGGCCCCATGGTCCCGCCAGACCAGCGACGAACTAACACTGTTGGCAAACATAACGAAAACATAGTGTCGGTGACATGAGCAGTCCTCAGCGCCGCCGCTTTTCTTAAGACGCGGGATTTTTTTTTTCCTCGAAGTTTTCACAGGTTTTTAGTATGCAAAGCTTGCTAAAATGATTTATTTGACAAGTTATCTAACAGTGTATATCCTTTGTCGCCATGGTGAAGCCAAGATCAAACGACTTCACTCAGCCTCCGAAATATACGGTTAGCCTGTACCGACAAGTTTTGTTTAACGTAACACGACGTAGCAGCATTACCGCTTTTTAGTGACTCGTTATAGTGTCCAGTGCCACATTGCACCGGCTTAGGTAGTTGCCCGCATCTGGCCATTCAGTCGCACTCGTAGCTTTGATTGTGCATGCGTTTCATGCGTAGAATAAAACGAAGAAAAACAGCTGCGTCGCACTGAGCTCACCATAGCTCCCAAAGCATCTGCCCGAAGCGTCTGTGTAAGGGGCAGCGGTACCACATGTACCTATTTAAACCCACTCGTGGCTGCCACTAAACATAAACTTGTCGTATGTTATATCACTTTGGTCGAAATCCTTCACATTATTCATTTCAATTTTTTTTTTTTTTTTTTTTTTTTTTTTGCAGCACATACCGATGGAAGAACTCAAGGCGCTGTGTCTGGATCAACTGCATAAGCTACCGAACGAGAGAGTCCTGGCAATCTTACAAGGTACGAAAGTATTTTTAGTTTTACTAGAAGAAAAAGAGGAAAAAAGGTAGAGTTAGTAGATTCGCAGAAAATAGAGGGAAATGCAGACCTATTTTTAGTTGACCTTTTGTTTTTCTGGGGAAGAAAAAAAAAACGCAAATACAATAAATCTACAAAAGCATCACACACGAAGAAACCACCGAACTAGGGCACAAACCGAAAAAATTACAATGAGTCGTGTGCACGTCGTAGATAATTCTAGAAATGAAGTATAACGAAGTGTTGTTTTTTCTTTGTATGTTGGCGTCAACTAGTTTTTGTGTGTGGTTAAGTACATTGGCCTTTTTTTTTGTAAATATGCTATCGATTAAATAAACAAAGTCTAATAAATCGTTTAACATTGACAGATGGTATGCGCATTGCGATGTATAATCGCTGAGCTTCACTGAACGGGTTTCGCGCGCGAAAACAAAAGGATGACATCGCGATTGTTTTCATTAATTGTATTGAAACAAATACTTGGATCGAGGGCAATGGAGTGTTTCAAGCAATTACTTTTTGTTTTTCTAATACTTTAGTATTTGAAACATGTACAGCGCAGCTCTCCAGGTATAGAGGCGTCACATATACTGAACCAGATATATCGAAATGTGTGTTATATTAGCTATAATTAGACTCGCAGAAGTACAATTCTGTCCATTAAGCCGGGGTTACAATAATCATACGTCATACAAAAAACAACCGACATACAGATTCGAGCGCCAGTCGCCACGAGATCCGTGCTTCGAAGGCCGCAGGGGAGAAAACTTGGCGCTCGGCATTCGAACCGCGGATATTGCAGTGGCCCGTGTTCGCAGACTTTTTTTGTTTGTTTGATGTATGAGCAGTGGTGAACCCGGCTTTATGTTGTGCCGAAACTAATGAACTCAATTCACTGCGCAAACAAACCTACAACTCAAGAAACGGTATTCTTTTTTAATTTTTTTTTTTTTTACTCACAAAACGAACGAGTACTAGCAGATTTGATTCCCTTTGTGAAAACGAGAATCTACTAACAATTCATAGTTAGTCATCCGCTAATTATTGCCATTTTGAACAATTCATGCGCGTCGTATGTGCGAAGTACTTAGGTATCTATTCTATGATGTTTGGAACAGCTTCACCAGCTAAAATACTTTCTAAGACTTCCTAGTATCTTGACGCGGTTGCACGGTATGTACGCTGTCACTGCATCCAGAGCAGCTATCTGGCTGCCCATTAACCCTAACCGGCTTACTCTAGGACGCTGAACCTATAAAGAATACATGCTTCCTACGCTAAACCAAACCTCACGTCTCGATCTTTAAGTGTGCCTCCGTGGAGCCGCTTTCACAGTTCGCGTAGCCGGAGCCGCTACTCCGTTTACTACGCGCATCAACTTCGGTTAATGTGAAGCGGGGTCGTTCGCTTTCGTAATCGCTTTTCTTCTCCCGATTGCGAGGAAGCGGAGTTTAGACCGCCAGGTCGCACGGCCGTCGGACCTCGTTAAACTGTTCAGCGTGCGTGAAGAAAGTTGCCCCGGTGGATACCAGAAAAAAAGCCTTCGTTGCGGTTGGCAACGTTGGCGGAGCCGCGGTTCGAGCCGCCGAGAGCTGTCCGCCGCTTCGAATGCAGGTGGCGTTGCGTGTTGTGGAGCTGGCGGTTGAAACGGAGCCGTCCTCTCGGATGCGTCAAGGTGGCGTCTTGTAAACGGGCGAACCTCTTCACTCGAGTATCTCTCAACGCTCAAGTTCACACTAATTAGAAGTAGCGCACTCATTAATGAGCGCGCACATGTGGGAACTACGAGTTTTTGTTTTAAGCAACCATGTTTGGGTCGTAAAATTTGTATAATGTATAATGATGTAAACATGCGTGATAAAAAAAAAGCGTTTAGGAAATGAAGTTTCAGTAAAAAAAAAAAGCAAATATGTGTTTAGACAGCGTAGTTTCGGTCAGCCTTTCAAGTATGATGACACATAGTTTTTAGGCTGTAGACGAGAAATTTAGCCAGTGGAGTGCGACTGCCTGCCTGGGTCTCTAACGTGTATCCTGCCGTTGTGATACATGTCCGACTGCAGAACGGTGCGATGTTCATCCAGATCGAAACGGGCAGGGCCAGGAATCGAGCCTATAGAATCCCCGGGTTCTGTAGTGAGAGCTTTCGCTACACGTGCTCCGAGCTCTGGTGCGCTAAAACACTCAGCCACCGGACCTCAACCAAGACCTATTGCGATGGAAGAGCTGAAAACAATACATTACAGTAATCTAGAAAGCCTTGCCATCGGTGTGCTAGATGTGGTAACTCACTTGTTTTGTGTTCGTCTTATGTGTGTGTGTTTTTGTTTGCTTGCTTGTTTTTCGTCTAAGACGATTTTGTTATAGGCGCAATTATTTCTCTGACGTCATGAGCAGTAGATTCCCGCAGCGCCATCTTGGTTCCGTTCGTGTCGCGTTCTCGGGAGGGAGGAGGGGGGGGAGGAGGGGGGGGAGGGAGGAGGGGAGGGGGGGGTCAGAACGAGCGCAAAACTGATGCACGACGACGCTAAAGATCCAGACGTCCGCTACTTTCGTCATCTCGTTTCACTTTAACACGCTTGCCGCTTAGGCCGCGTTGGGGTGTTTCCTAATGATGACGTCGTGTGCAGGCCGTGTCTTCTTGGTACAGTGTTGTTAATCGTCAGAAGAAAACAAAAAAAGAAAAAGAACAAGGATATTTAGAAAACAAGCACAAGCACGGCCGCCGTTACACGCCGCGTCCTCTCAGCGTCGTAATCGACTAAATTCTTGTTTCACTGCGTCCCGTCACCCCGCCATCTTTCCCCAACAACGCGCCGCAGGAATCAAAGGAAGTTTTTTTTGCCGGTGGCAAGCGCCAAGCTCGCCTGAGCGATCCGCTGAATTAAGGCCCTAGTTTAAAAGACAAGAAGCGAAGATCGTCAGGGTTAATGACGCGAAATGACCCATTATCGGTGTCATCATAGGTCATTAACGTCGATAAACCCTTTACACCCCTCCCCCCCCCCCCCCCTCCCCCCAACCAGACCTTTTCACCCATGCAGAGTTTGACTTAATTTCGACGCCTAGCCTGACGCTTTTGTCGGCCCGAACACATTCTGTGGGAGTAGTAACAGCGTTCGACGTACGAAGCGTTCATTGTTCGTGTCGCCGCTCTTTTCTTTCTCGCTCGGTTCACGTGCTACCCTTTTGTCATTAATTTCACTTCCTTCGCTTTAACGTGCTTCCGCGTTGTTTTCGCCGTGTGCCGGTTTTGCTAGCCTACCATTAGTTTTAGGCGTAATGAGTTGGATTAATTGTGCTGGGTTTGCGGCGTGAGAGGCAGGCGTGTTGTTCCCAAGTGAAGTTTGCGTTTCGTTGAAGTGACTTCTTGACATTCCTGTCAATTTGTTTCGGTCGAGTCGTGGTTGTCGCTTCTTGAACATGTATTGGCGAGGTCGTATCAACCCGAACATTTTTGGTAACTGAACTTTTTTTTTTCCAATCCAGCTTTTTTAGCTTTAATTTGCCGTTCTGCAACGAAGTTGATTCTTTTTATTTTGAATTCGTAAATTCACAAGTGATATTGGGTTTTTTTTTAATGCAGGGGACCACTAAGCATGCTGCCGAATATAATATAGATTAAGGCGACGTATCATGAGGTTGATATGACCGAATCTTTTTGTGGTCCGAGTCCTCGGAGCACGGTGAACTACACCCTTTAGTGCGCTTAAAACAGAACAAAAAAAATGAAAGCCGTTTACAACTTCCTGTAACGCCGAATTAGAGCGCAGCTCTTGAGGAGGAGGAGGGAAGGGTACTGAAAGGGGGGGGGGTCACGTGATCTCGGGGGGTTTTCGATGACGTCATCAGTGTCGTCACTGATGACGTGCTCAGGGATGATGACGATGCGGATGCCAATGTCATCATCAGTGACGTCAATGATGACGTCAGCAGTGATGTCACTGATGACGTCATCAGTAATGATGACGATGCGGATGCCGATGACGTCACCAGGTTGCATGTAACCTGGATTGCATGCAACAGGTTGCATACAACTCGTTGCATGCCAGCTGCATGCAACAGGCTGCATGCAACCTGTTCCATGCAACTCCCGAAGGAACCCGAGGTCCTCCCGAGGTCCTCCCGAAGGAACCCGAGGTCCTCCCGAGGTCCTCCCGAAGGAACCCGAGGTCCTTCGGGAGGACCTCGGGTTCCTTCGGGAGGACCTCGGGTCCCTTCGGAAAAATTTACCCATAATGCACCGCGCGGTTACGCCGACGGCGACGCCGCTCAAGCCCGAAACGGGCGCCTAAGAGCTGCGCTCTAAAAAATAGTTACAACGTAAGAAAATTCGGCGGTCTGATGAAACAAGCTAAAACTCCTCTCAAATGTTCCTTTCGCTAGTTGAAATATTAGCCAACCATATGAGAAGTATTATCTCACTTCGTATCGTGAATTTAAAAAAAAAAAATAAAAGAAGCAATGGACGGTCTTCTTTTTATGTTGGGGCAACAGTCAATAAGGCGGTATAATCACTGGCTTTTGTCTATTTTGCCGCGGACTGAGTGGGTTTTCTATTTTTTATTGTAATAGCTTCTTCAGTAGAATACACCCCCCCCCCCCCCCCCCCACCCCCACCCCACCCCCTTACAGAATTTTCAGAATACTGCGTGCCATCGCTGATTTCAGGGAGTCCGTTTACATTCTGAACCGATTATCGGCGATGCTGAAAGCAATTGTGAAATTAAGAAGGGAAAAAAGTAGCCTGTTTTGGTCATGTCTGACTCAGTTTTTTGTGAGTAGAATAGGTACAATAATGTGATACATATAATCAACGTAATCCGCTGGCGGGTGAGATGTCGCCCGCCAAATTAAGCGAACGGTGCTCCCATGACTGCCGGCAGCCTTCGAACATACATATTTGTCGTTACCTTTTCTTCGGGGAGTGAGACAAGCCCCAAAATATATTCAATGTTAGAAGTGTTCACAGTGCGTTTGCAATT